TAAAGAGCCTCCACATCTAGGTCTCTGTTCCAGCTCAGTTTCCTGAGTTTCATTCCATACATGCTGCTTAGCACCCTTGCCTGGGAGTCTCAAGGGTGCTTCGACCTTAGCCCTTCACTTGGCTTCCTTTCCCCCTTACTGTAGTAGGCGATTCCAGCTTTCAGCCAGGAGAGGCTTTGGAGGGTTTTGTGTTTTCTGTATTAAATGGTGGAAGCATTGAGATTCTGGGGCAACAGGTGCTGTGGCCGGGCACCATAAGCAGCCTGTTATGAAGCACACCAAGCTCAATTCCCAGGTGCAGTGGACTGTGAACCACCTTCTTTAACTTTATCAGGCATCCAGGGCTTCTGCAAAGACTTGTTGGAGGTTGCAGACATTCTGGAGAAGGCAACGCAGAGTGTTCCAAAGGAAGAAATTAAAGATGAAAACCCTCACCTGAAAAGCCTGTACGAGGGGCTGGTGCTGACCGAGGTGCAGATCCAGAAGGTATTCACAAAGCACGGCTTGCTCAAGCTGGACCCCCTTGGAGCCAAGTTCGACCCTTATGAACATGAGGCGCTGTTCCACACACCAGTAGAGGGCAAGGAGCCAGGCACGGTGGCACTGGTTAGCAAGGTGGGGTACAAGCTGCACGGGCGCACCCTCAGGCCCGCCCTGGTGGGGGTGGTGAAGGAAGCATAACTGCCTCCCACAGGGCCTTTGGCTTTTAAGTCACTTGCTGTAACTCTTGAAAGGCGGGTCTATCTTTTCTCCTGTGGGAGTCCAGCCTTGATGGAAAGGTCAAGTGGCTGCAAAGAATCGAGCTGGGTACACAGTTGCGTCCAGGAGCTCTGGTCCAGGAGTCTGATTTCTTAGTACCACATGTTTAGTAGCTCCATATTCTTCCAGAAGAGGGCGGACGGGACCTCTAGAGTATGGTGAATAACCTGTATCTGCTCAAACTCGTGATTGCAAAGTACTTTAAACAAATAAAAGGTCTTCAGGAACTGTCTGGCTGCCTGGCCGCCCATCTGTGCCGTCGTGTGCAGCTCACTGCAGCACTGAGTGCTGGCACCTTTGGCCACTGCTGGGTTCACTCTGCGAAGAAAAGGCCGGAGGGGAAACGTGTTTCTTGATTAAAACAACAACAAAAAATTGATGCCTACCTTTGAGAACATACAAGTTCATTTATAACTAGCGTCTAGATGCCAGGAATGGTCAACCTTGGCTTTTCTGTGGAGATGGGAAGGGAGCATGTGAACTTGAACATTCTTACCACCTTATTTTGCCAAGTGAATTTGACAAAGTAAATCCTTTTTTGTTTTGTCATCTCAGTTGTTTAAATCTATTCAGTTAGTTACTAATAACCTCAAGGTATGTTCCTATTAAAATGGACCTTCTCAGTGGGGACTGCATGCTTGGTATACTTAAAATGTTTGTTTAATTTTAAAATTCTATTTAAGAGGATTAAAAGCCTAATGTTTATTTTCCTACTTCTGGTAATGACGTGTCCTTTAGTGGTGACCCCTGAGCCCAAGGCAAGTATGACTTAACTCTCTCCCCTTTATCTACCCCAGCTTGGGAGTTGGCTGCTTGGTGTGCAGGTGCCACCACCTGGGAAGGGAGCAGCCCGCCAGGCTCAGACCCAGTGACCAGGAGAAGGCACACCACAGCAGGGGTTGGGACAAAGCCCTCCAGAGCTGCAGCCATACACGGTGACTCCAGCAGAGAGGTCTCTTTGTCTCATATAATGTCCAGGTCTTGGAGGAAGGTGACTGGGGCATCTGTTACAAAAGGGAACAGTGACCTATTAACCTTTTTTAGGTGAAAGGGCAATATTGGTAAATCCATTTCCTGTGTTTAAAAAAAATGGGGCATAGTTATATATTTTGCCAGTAATTTTGAAAAACAAAAGCAATACTCTCCATTTTTCCTATTTGCAAGCATTTTCCTCCTTTCCTTGAAGTTGCTTTGTGTTATTTAGTCAAATACATACCCTGGAACTGAAGGCAGCCCAACATTGGAGAGAACCCAGGCCTAGGTCCAGCCCAGCCTGTTTTTATGCTGTGCAGCTGTGTGCATACCACCCAGGAACTCTCCTGCAAAGCAAAGCCTGAATGAGACATCATGTTCAGACTGTTCTCTGACAGTGTGTGTGTGTGCGCGCGCGCTCGCTCCCCTGTTCAACTACAGCTGGAGTCGCTAAAAAGTACTAAGTTCAAGACTCAAGACATAGCTAGCTCTCTGTGTCTGTGGGTGTTACACCCATGAACTTGACTAACTGCAGAACAAAAGTATTGAAACCAATCGTACTGAACACATTTGTCCTCATTTCCTGCACAATACAATCTGTACATGGCATCTAACTGTATTGGACATTATAAGTCACTTAGAGATGATGTAAGTTGAGAGTGCACAGGTTATATGCAAATACTATTATTATTTTAAGGGACTTGAGGTCCTCAAATTTTGGAATCCTGAATGGAGTGGGGGGTAAGGCATCCAGGAACCAACCCAAGGGATGACTGCAGCTCAGATATAGCCAACTTGTCTTCAATAGTGTATTTCAGTTATCCAATCACCACCAATGGGAAGACATCTTTTAATGATAAATTCATGCTGGAAATGATATGGTCAGCTCCACTCTAGTACCGATGGGTGTTGCTTGCTTGCAGCGTGCGCTGAGGTGTATGGTGCAGACCTCAGGTGTGGGAAAGTCAGCCCACTTAGGTTGACTTAGGGATGGCGGGGGCTGGCTTGATAACCAGTGTGCCACTCAAACATGCCAGGCACGCCGTACCCCTGGGCTCATTGTTGGCTCACTGCTGCATTTAAGGTTCTGCAAGGATGTAGGCACAGAGGCTCGAGAAACGGTAAGAAGCAAGCAAAGGCACTGTTCTGTTCTCAACTTGTTTAATATGTAAAAGAATAATAAAAATGGTAGCCAGAGTTGTAGTTTTTAATACATTCTTGGAATGTTGGCCTCCCAGAGAGCATTATTTCAAATACCTGAAAAATTACCTATCTATCTTTTTGGACTTTGTAAAGACAGTTTGTGTAAAATTTGAAAAGATTTAGTTCACAGGATTATGGTAGCTAATTTATTGTGAGAATTGAATATAAACACATCAGGCTCCAAACTAATGCAGAGGTAAGAACTAATATAACAGAAAGCTGGAGCAGATGGGATAAGAGGCAACCAATCCTAACATTACTTTCCTGTTGTAACAACATATTAATACTTTGACATAAATTAATTATACATTCATTATGGTGTCTTAAAACAGTCAAGCCTAAATAAATTCTTCATACCATCAAAAAGATATATATATATATATATATACACACACACACACACACACACTACAAAACTGCTTAAGCACAAAGGTTTTCACTGGACAACTCTTGGCCTGGGCCACACACATTTTCAGGATCCTCTGCTTCTCAAGCTTAATGTAGGTCTATCATTTTATATAAAAAAATAAGACTAGACTCAACCTCACCAAACTAGTATTCGGGTGGTGTAGAAAATCAACAAATGAGACACCAGGACATCTAAAGCCAGTGGCTGTCAAAACTGAGCTCCCTCCCAGTCACCTAGAGGGTTTGAAAGACGGCTTGCTAGTCTCCACCAAGGAATTTCCAATTCAAGAGGACCCGGTGGGGTCCAGATTCTGCGTTTGTAAACAGGTACCCAAGATCCGCACTCTGAGAACCACTGGCTGTGACAATATAAGAACTCAGCACCATCCTTGTCACTGTCCCTGGCGCAGCATGCAGCCAGCACTCTGGAGCAGTGTCACTGCTCAGCATCTGCCAAGAAGCCCTGGTCTAGCGAGCGAGTACTCCTCTGCCAGCCCGCAACACACTTTGCAACTAAACAGTGTACTTGAATGTTTTGTTTAATGCTGAAAAACTCACCCTAAGGGACAGAGGATGTAAAAAGAAAGGAAAAGGCACATAATCAAGTCGTCCTTGGAAATGAGGAGGGTTTTGTTTTTTTTTCCTTTGAATAACTTCACTTTAATGTACTTCAAGCTCAAATATTCTGGGAGGTAAACAGGCTCTTGTACCTATGGGGGCACAGGGGCAGGATGAGTTTAGGGAGAATGGGGTCTATGGCCATCCAGGGACTCTAAAGCAGGGTCTGGGCATGAGAACCCTGAGCAGCTGGAAGACAAGCGACTTCCTCAAGTTTAAAAGGAAGGTACCGTGTACGCCCTTGAAGAAGGCCCCAGAAACGAGCTTTTCGGTTGGGCTGGGAAGGAGCCATTTTTGAGTCAGATGCAAGAGGGCGAGCAGGAAGCAGCACA